TCAATCAAGCTCTCATCCTCTTTTCCTCAGGCGACCCAGTAACTTCACCAGCAGTCACCCAGCCCATCTCAACGGCAATAGATTTCAGGGTGCTGATATCATTTTTCCAAGGGCCCATACCAACTCACCAACGCTGCGGCAAAGGAAAATCTTCCACATCCATTAGGAATAACTCGATCAGTGCCTCATGAATTCCGTGAAGTCGGGGGAATCATCCGTTGGAATAAAAATAAGAAGATGGCAAGGCAGTCAAACATACGAGAATCCTGGGCGATGTTTTACTAACAGCTCTTCCTGCTCTTCGATGCTTAATGCTGATACCACGAAAAGCGAGGATACTTTGAGTACAGAAATGGAGTGCCTTGGTGACAAGGTAGTCAAGGCGAGCCATCTGTTGGAAGTGCAAAGCGAAGGTCATCGTTCTACGATTGAAACTAGAGAGGATCAACTGCAAGTAGGTAAGAAAAGTTGCATAGGTAAGTGAAATTTTTAGATGATAATTTACATTTTGAGCTGAAGTTTTTTCTGTGGGTAATTATAGCGGCGATTGGACGCCAACACTTTGTCGAATAAAAGTGGCCTCAGCCTTTGTCAACTGAACATACATACGAAGGATAGTTTGGCACAGGGTAGAACCTTGAGTGATGTTATAATCGTAAAGGAGCTTAAGTACCTAACAGGCTGACTGGCGTTTCCATAGGCCAAGAGTTTAGCGAAAATAAAGAATCAACATACTAGGTGCTTCTTTTTGGAAGATTTTCTTGCGTTTAACGAACCGCTTTTACATGCAGCACGTTTATTTACGGTAGTAGTGAAGCTATTTTTAAAAATTATGATTTTGGTCAAGTTATTTACGAAATCGAATCAATCACCAGTACCTTGGTGCTGTCTTTGTTTGTGACACCAGGATTTTAAAGTTAAATATAAAATTTTCATTTCGGTGTCTGTTCAGAGCGCAACTAGTGATTAATGTCTCCATTCATGCGAGCGTCAGTCTACCGCTCTGTTTGTGTATAATGCTTTCATATTTAATCGCTTCCATATCCTCTACCCGAGAACTGAGGCAACGAGTGTATGTAAGCAGGTACATGGGTATATTTTTTCACAAAATGTTGAGCAATACTTCTGGGATTTTACGCCAGAAACAACGCAAGTCTTTGCAAAGAGATTTTCTCGGTAGAGACTACATTTATTAACTGGAAGCCTTTCATAGTCTTCATAATCCTCAAATGAAGTCTATATTCACACTTAAGGATGCAAAAAGTTGTGGCTAACCATCATTTGAGGTTTTTCTACTGCCTAACTATATGACCTATTTTCTCTGCTCCAGCCCATTATGTGAGAAGCAGATGCTCTGCTGAACTTCTGAAGTAGCTTTACGCTTTTTCCAGATTCGTGCTAATGTAAGCATTTCAGAAGTTCATTTCGAACGTGCACTCAATGAAAGGTGTATCAATGTTTTGTAGTTGCATGTCATGTTCGAAGCAGGCGGGCGATGGCCTTGTCAAAAACACCCTTACGCACTGGAAACCCCCGGCGTATAAAATACCCACGTTTTACCAGCGGGTCTTCGAGCAGTACATCTATTTATCTTTTATTATTTTTTAGCAGTCTACAGGAATAGTTTCGACGCTAAGGAAAGAAAAAAATTGTTTGTGCTTCCTTTAGAATCGCAACCACTTGCGATTGCTTCTCCTGGCGTGACGACCGCCAGTACCCCGAAACGCCATCACCCTGCCTCACCTGTCATTAACTATGCAACCGACGAGACCAGTGTTGGCAATGCTGCTCAATCCAAAAGCGAAGACTCTGCTTCCAGTACGACTTCTCTTTCCGCCAACTCTGCTGCATCCCCGCCACTCGAAGATTTGGAGCAGGAGAAGCACGTAGAAGACTGTGATATGACCAGAGCCACCCCTTTATTGAACGAAAATTCTCTTGTAAATGTAAAGACATCAGCTTCTTCCATAAGACAAAGTGCAGGTAACGCCACAGTCCTTGGGGTTACCTGTGGTAGCAAAGCGACAGCATTTAGCTCAAATGGGAACAATCGAAACGGGTCTCTTCTTCCCAGGCCTAATGCATCGGGATCGAACCTCTCAAATTCTTCTCGAACCAAAGCTGCTTCCAGGTCTAAGAGGGTATCGGACCGCTTTTCTTTTCCACAAAATATGTTTCATCTTCAATTTTGGCATTCAAATCTGGCTATCCCTTACATGAATAGCACTCTCACTAAAAATCCCGAGACTGT